CTGTGGGACGGGGAGTCCCAAGGGGAGGGGAGTTTGGGGGCACTTGGGGGTCTTCTGTGGGACGGGGAGTCCCAAGGGGAGGGGAGTTTGGGGGCACTTGGGGGTCCCCTGTGGGGCAGGCGGTACCGGGGGGGGGAGTTGTGTGGGCAGCTGGGGGTCCTCGTATGGGGCAGGAGTCCCGGGGGGGGCTTTAGGGAACCTGAGGGTCCCCTGTGGGTCAGACAGCCCCATATGGGGGTTTTTGGGCTCTGGGGGTCTCTCAGAGGCACAGGGAGGCCCCCACCCCCAGGGCTGGGGGGTGCCCCGGGTGGGGACGGGCCCGGTGGGGTGCCGGTGGGAGCCCACCAGCGGTCGGCCGGCCCCGGGGGTGCTGGGGTCGCTGTGAGGTCCTGCTAACCGCTGTGGGGGGGTCACGGGGAGATGGGGTGGGGGTCCCCAGCCCGGAGCTGCCCTCCCCGTGGTGTTGGCCCTTCTCCACTTAAAGCCGACAGAGTCCCGTGGCTGGGGGTACCTGGCTGCATCAGCGGCCGCCTCTCCGGGGACACAGCTTCAGGCCGGCGGCGATGCCGGGGGGCTGTGGGGTGCTCGGCGTGGCCCTGCCTGTCCCTGCCTGCTGCTGCTGCTGCCTTCCAGTTACTGCCCCGGAGCTGGTGAAGCGAAGCCAGCAGGAGGGAGAAACCTCTGCCCCGTGAGCAGGCCGCAGCGTGGCAGCCCTGTTCGTGGGCACCGTTATCCCCGATGTGCGATGTCAGGGGCAGTTGCTGTGGCAGCTGGAGCACATCTCAAATTCTGGGTGGTTTGAATGCCCTGGAGAAGCTCAGCCCTAAATACAGAAGCGAACCAGTTGCTGCCTCCCTACCTGCCTGGCATTCTGACCGCTATCCCCATTTGTATCTGACACCCTTCAAAGCAACCATCCCAAGCAATTTGTTTTTTCTTTGTTTTGGTGAAGCAAGTCATGGATTTAATTATCTGAGGACCTTTTGTACCTTTCATTTGCTTTTCAGACTTGGTGACCTGTTTCTTTCCTACGGGGAGGGCGTGTCGGTTAGATAAAGCCACATGTTTCTGTGGGACTTTAAACTTCCAAGTGTGACATTTCTTCCAGTCAGACGTAACTTGGTATACACACTTGCTTAAAAACACAATCTGTTTGTGCAGGTGTGTGTGGCAACATGAAGGGATTTCTATCTTAGTTGTGTTTCATGATTTAAAATGCAAATGTGATGCTTTTGAACTAGTGTCAAAGTGTGGAAGGGAGCGATTATTTTATCTGCTTTGCTTTCTATGGATGTTTGTAGTCATGTCTGAGAGAGACAGTGGTGAAAATCTGAAAGAAGAAACCTCTTATGAAGATGAACAGAAAGCAGAGGAACTTGGCTGCACTGAGAGCAGTGAAGAGAGAGAGCAAGAGCTTGAGCCTGTGCCTATGACCCGCAAAAGACCTGAACCCAAACCCCCAAGTCAGCTTGCTGCCACAGAAAAGACCACAGCTGAAACCCTCAAGGTATGTTCCTATGCTTGCTCTTAATAAAATGACTTAATGTTTCATGGCTTTGAGCACAGAAGAATTTTGACCATAAGCCTCACTGCTTCTTTGAAAATTCACATTGCTGTTTATCTGAAAAGAAGAAGCTGCACAGAAGTTGCACATCACAGACTGCTTGTGTTCCTCTCCTCACCGTAATACCTGCATCACTCTCTTCTGCTTTTCTTCATCAAAGGTCTCGAATTCTCCTGCTGGAGTTCAGACAGGATGGGGGTACTGGGGAAGCTGGGGGAAATCTCTTCTGTCAACTGCATCTGCTACTGTGGCTACTGTAGGTAAGGCTTTTTCTGGTATTTGATAAATATTTTAACCATGCTTCATATCTCAAGCTAGTGCTTTTGAGCTTGTTTCTAGAGAAGGGGATTTCTGTTATAGCAGCAATTATTGGAAAAATGTCGAGAGAATCGTTCAAGTAATGGGGAAAACTTGTACCAAAAGGTACAGTGAGATTAAGGACACATGCACGGCCAAAATGACTTTCAAGTTTTTAAGGTGTTTGCATAATTTTCAGCTGGTATTTTAAACTGGTATTCAGCTGGTATTTACAACTTGATTTAAAAGCTGGGATGAAACCTGAGTTCATTACATTGGTAAGCATCTGGATAGTGGTAGGTTTTAGTGCTGGGTAAACTGTCTTGAACAGGAGGAATCCAGAATAATGAGAAACAATATGCAGCGCTAATCCTGTTTCTGTTCTGATTTCTGTTGTATCTCATGTTTAAAGTAATACTGCTGTCTTCTCTAGGTCAAGGTATTTCAAATGTTATAGAAAAAGCAGAAACAACCCTTGGGATCCCCAGTCCTAATGAAATATCTTCAGAGACTAGAGATGCTACAACAGGTCAGTTTTTACTGCATAAGAACAACACTGAAATGTTTCTCATAACATAATCAGCCCCAAAATAACATCACTTACCCTGCATCTTACTGTGTGCTAAAGTAATACTCTATTGCATGCTTCTGTTAGCTCTGAAAAGTAGGTAGGAAAATAATCCTAATTCTAGCCCTGCTCCTGACTGACTCTTGGTGTTTGTTAATTTTCTCCACTCTGCAGCTGACAGGATCTTTTTTGGGGAGTGAGGAAGTTAATTTTCTGCCTTCTAATGCAGGAAGCGAGAATCCTTGTGCTAGCAGCACAGATGCAGTTGATGATGGCAGTTCCTTTCCTATTGCTGGGGCTCTAGGAGTTTTATCAACGATCTCTACTGCTGTCCAAAGCACAGTGAGTGAGTTGGGAACGCAGGAGAAAATGGGTTTAAGAGAGTGTTGGGTTTTTTGCGTTTCATCTGAAACATCGTAAGAGGAAACTTCAAATTTTTACTTTCGTGGGACGAATGGTGAGAAACTGTTTCAGCCTTCAGACAGTTTTTATTCTGTGCCTTGCTAACTGGCACTTAATGTGTAAGTCATCTTGAATTTTGATAGTTCTGTATTAAATGTTGATACGTAACAAAAAACCTTAATGGTGTACTGTGTCATGTGTGCATTCCCATGCATGTCACCCCTGTACTCTTGTTATCTCTGCTCCCTTTCTTTGGAGTATTCAGGTAAATGCAGGGTCAGACTTATTGCCGGAATGTTTCCACAGAACTGTCTAGAGATGAAATCCATTGTCCTCTTCAAAAACTTCTGTGAAACTAGCCCAAATTGCTTGGAAATCAGCTTGCTCCTGTGACCGTGAGAAATGTACTTCAAAGGAACCCATTACCCTTAGAAACTGTACTTTTGTGATCTGCTGTCTTGTCAATTTGCCCATGAGTCTGAAAGAGCTGCAGATGGAAAGCTTGCTTTTGCTTTTAAGGCTCAAACAAGAGTTAGCAACCAAAAGCCACAGGTCTAGTGTTTTCTGATTGGAAGGAAGAGAACTAAATACTTTAATACTTTAATGTGCCGAGAACCAGCCTGTTCACAAAATAAAAATGTATTTCCTATTAGATTGCTGCAGCTGTCTGAGTGCTCTATTAAACTGTTGGATGATAATGTATTGTGGCTCCTTCTGTGTCCTTCTGCTCTCTGTGGTGATTAGGGTTGAATTTTAGGGTGACAAGGACCAATTTGGCTTGTATGTGAGTGTCTGGCATAACATTGCTGATATAAATCCCCCAGTTCAATTTCTTCAGTTGTATAGCCTTCTGTGAGTTTTATGTGCTGTCTATATCCAAATCTGATTCCTAGGGAAAAAGTGTTATTAGTGGAGGTCTGGATGCCTTGGAATTCATCGGGAAAAAGACAATGGATGTAATAGCTGAGGGAGACCCTGGATTCAAAAAAACAAAGGGCCTAATGAACAGAAACTCTACGTTATCTCAGGTATAGCAGTTCCTTATCAGCTTCTCATTGGTTTCTCTCATTTCTTTTCCATTCTTTTGTGGTCCTGTCAATTTACTATTGAACCAAAAGCCTTCTCTGCCCATATTCTATATCTTCTGGCACTGACCTGAGTCCTCTGCTTTTCTTTTTCAGGTCTTACGAGAGGCAAAGGAGAAAGAAGAGCAGCAGACAGCTACTGAGGTTACCATGGCTACGGAGAAGAAAGCCCATTATGGGTTACTGTTTGATGAGTTTCAGGGTCTTTCACATCTGGAGGCCTTAGAGATGCTTTCCAGAGAGAGTGAATCAAAGGTAATGGCCTTGAGCAATTTGTGTTCTATTTTGAGTTCAGCTGAGCAGGGGAAAAAAAGATTAGAAATATATGTATATACATGTAAAATCAGGTGCCCAGAACTTGCTATGAAGTGATTGATTACACAACTTCACTTTGACCCCTGCATTATGATCTGATGTTTACCCTGGGAGCATTATGTTCTGTCCTCAGCTCCTAGAGCCGTTCTCTTTACCCAGCTAGCCTCAGCTCCTGCATGTCTTCAACAGCTTTTCACAAGTTACTCTCTTGTCATACCCACTTGTTTGCTGCCTTGGTGTGGAGGAGAGTATTGTAAGCACAGCAGAGATTGTCCTCTCTGTCTTGGGGCAGGGAGGAGGGCAGATCAGCACGCAATTTCAGAAGTCATTCACTTTTTTATGAAAGAAATTACTTGAACAACTCCTTAAGAATTCATTAGTATCTAATGAGACTTCAGAAATAGGTCTTCTTCCATTTCTTCTTTCCTGTAGGAAAATACCACTTTCTCATTAATGTCAATCTGTGATGTTTTCACATACAGTGTAAGCCAGTGCTGCATCTTCCATCCCCTTTCTTTTTCTTGTTGGATTTATGATTCTCTCTTTCGCTGTGCTGCCCCTAACTAGGTGAAATCGGTTCTAAATGCCCTCTCTGGAGAAGAGTTGGACACACTGAAGGAGGAAATGGAGCAACTCAAAGAAGCATTTTCTTTACCTGAATTCTTTGAAGAAGAGGAGGAAGAAAAGAAAGGTAAGAGAGCCCCAGGCTCTGGGAGGAGAAGCTGGTTCTCAATGAAATTCTCAATGTAGAGCCAGCCAGCCCTGAGATCACTAGCAATGGACATGATGCCAAAGTTAAATTAGCCTTTAGCTGGATGCTTAATCCTAAAGCCGTCTGTGGCCGGGAGCATGACAGGTAGCAATACCCTTCATCTCTGGAAAGCAGCTGTGCATTAATTCTGTAGCAGGAACGATTTCTTGCCAGAGCAGGATTAGAGTTGCTTGACTCCAGGGCAGTCAAGCAAATGGAAAGAGATGCTGGATTCCCCTGACCATGAGGGAAAGACTGTGAATAGAGTTGTCCAACCTGTGGGAAAGCAAAAAGCCTTTTTATTTATTTTTTTAAAGTAAGAGTTAGCCACACAGACCAAAACACTCAGAGGTGGCTCCATACACAAGAGCCCTGTGATTCTTGAGGATTATGCAGATTTCAGTGTAAATTTCTTCATTGCTTTTACCTAAATGGCTCATCAGGGAGGGCTTATACACCTGCACCTGCTATCATTTAACATTTAATGTATCTTTTATATTTGCACATGATGGATCTCACAGCCTTCCCCCCACTGTTAACATCTGCCCTGCCATATAAAACGGGGGAACTGTAGGCTTTAAGTGATATTTCAGATTCTCCAAGGTGATGAGCACATTAGTGCATTATAAAATGCTGCCTGTAAAAAAAAAAAAGTGAAATTACCTTAGCTACAAAACCAGAATTGAGAAAGCAAAAGCTAACCTTCTGGCGCTGATGTCTCCACCTTTTCAGAACATACCTTATAAATTGTTTTTAAAAAGACCAGGTTTGATGCATTCTTGCCTGAGTTGATGATTCAAAGAGAAATAAAGGAAACAGTTGACAGACTTATGCAGAGCTAGTTGTGCATTGAAAGGCTGCTTATTCCTATATCTGTCCTTTGTGTGGGTTCTTTAACCTTTTCTGTCCTTTAGGAGATGAGGAGTTCACAAAAGAAGTGACAGAGTTGTTTTCAGAATTGCGTATCTCCTCAAAGCCAGACAAACTGATCATGGTGAGTTATTTTCCATCTTCTAAAGGCTGGAGAGATTCCTCACAGGAGCTGCTTCTCAGTCCTGCTTTGCTTGTGAAAATATCAAAGGCATGAAAACAAGCTGTGTTTTAGATCCTTTGACAATGGTAGGCAAAAGAGATGGGCCTTTTCCTTTGACTTTATGGGGCAAAATTATGTTCTGTAATGTCTTTGGCTCTGAAGCAGTAGGCACCAGTGTGTCTTTGCCCTGTCACTGGGCAGTAATAAGTGGTGGCAAAGATAACTGAGAGCAGTAAACCTTCAGCCACCACAGTGAAATCAACCTACAGACATGAATTGAAGCCTTCCTCTTGGCACAAAGCAACTGGTTTTACTATGTTGAGAAGTTGGTATGAGGAAGAATCGCCTTTCTTGCCTTCATTTCACTACCCTTCAGATCCACCAAGTGGCAGCAGCATTCTGCAGACATGTTTTTTAAAGCACCTCTGTTAGTCGTGGTCTTGCTGGTAAACTCCAGCACCTGGTGCTAGACAAACGACTGCCCTCAGCTACATCAGTGCAGCCAACCCTCTACAAAGTCCTGAAGGCACTAGTGTCATTTGTCCTGGTTCTTCTCACTAGATAGTTGGAGCTGTTTACATCCTGTAGAGAGATCCAATACTCCATGTTTTGTGGTATGCAGGGGGGCTTCATTCCAGTCATTAAATACTATGGCATATCTTCATACAGGTGAGGACATCTGCTCATGAATGGATAGCACAATTCAACAGTAGTCTTCCTGAAGAAGAAAAAGAGAGTGAAGAAAACCAAGAAGTAGAATCCAGAGATGGTGACCATGATGCTAAAAAAACAGTAGAGGTAACTGAGTAATGAAGGAAGAGAGTATCTGACCACAGAGTGTTTATCTGGCTGTTAAGTTACAGTTGTGATTCCCAGAGTTTATGGGTTTCTATTTCTGTGCAGATTCTGAGGTCTGAAAAGGCAGTGTAGTGATAGTATTTTGCATGATTCCCTTGTTTTAAAGAATAAAAGCTGCTAGTTTTTGTTTGGTGTGGGGAATCTTTTTAAATCTTGCAGGATATTCATGCATTTGCCATAAGAAGTCTGGCTGAACTGACAGCATGCTCCATTGAAATGTTTCACAAAACCGCAGCTTTGTTTCTACGTGGTCAGAAACAAGAGGTGGCAGCCACAGAGAGAGCCAAGTCCCTTTCACAGTAAGCTAATCTCTTAGCCAACGTGTAGCATATAATTATTTACGTACTGATTAAACTGTCTGATAATTCTTTGCAAATCCATGGGATACAGTGCTCTTGAATTCTGCATGTGTGTTCAAAGTTGCAATGGGTGGCATCACTATCTTCCAGTAGAATTCAGCTGTCTCTTTCCAGCTTAAAGACATTTCTTGATAAGAAAGAGGAAACCCTCCTTGAAAGCTTTTATATAGCTAAGAAGGTTTGCCCTAAGCTTGTGCTAGTTAGTATACAAGACATTTAAAATATGACAAAACAGTTGTATAAAAGTGATTCTTAATTAGCTCTTTGTTAATCATTTAGTATGTTAGGTATGTGACATTGTAAAATTAGGGCAACTAATTAGTAGACTGGTCTTACCAATAATGCATAACACGAGATTTTTCTTTTATGTCGGGAGATACTTGACAAGTGTATGAAATATGCAGTACTTTCTAATTCAGAAAATGACACTTGTCAGTGAAAAAAAAAAAAAGTAAGTTGGTACTGTTCCTTCTTGAATGGATGTGTCTGTCCTCTGAATGCTTTTTCAGATCTTCAGCTTTAATTATTTCTTTTTCCATTTTTCCCCTCCTTAATTTATTTGGGGAACTTCTGGATCTTCATACACTGTTTATATGCCCTATATCAGTTTTGGTTTAATTTAGCTTTATATGCGTGGAAACAAGGTATTTGTGTTTTAGAGGAATGCTAAAAGGAAGTTATTCTTGTAGACTGTATTTACTATGTGGTTTTCCCACTCTTCCACAGAATGACAATTGTGCTCTGTAAAGAACTGTCAACTTTCTCGAAAGAGTTTACTACGTGCTTAACGACTGCAGGGGTAAGAGTAACACCATAGTTCTTAGGAATGAGATGTGGTTAGTTGATTACAGCCTTGGGATCTTCACCATGAAGCGCTTTTTGTGTTTGCACATTTATATATGCATTTTTTGCCCTGTGAACTGGTCTTCTAGGTCAGTGTTCCCCAAATTGTGGCAGCTGAATGTATGCTGAGCTTTTGAATGCCTCCCGCTGCATTCAGCCTGGCACGGAGTGGGGGTGGGAATTGGTGCTGACAGTACTAAGGAGACAGAAGAAAATAAGGTTTGTGATCCTGTTGTGGATTTTCCAAAACACTTGGGTGTTATTGAAGATAATATCATTATCTCTAAATCCTCCAGTTGTCCACAGTTCATTTGAAGATGTAATGTGTATAGTCATATAGGACTTGTGTTGGGCATATGTGGGTTACTTTGTTCTTATTTGCATGCTGCAAGGCCAGTCCTCTGCAGCTTGTGACTTAGCTTTCCTATAGTCAAGGGAGCATGGTGATTTTAAACTTACTGAGGATTTAGCTTTATCTTGCTTGAAGAAATGTGATCAAATTTTCAATCAGGATAATATATGTCTGATCTCTGCAGGTCAAAGAGAAAGCAGATGTGCTTAATCCCTTAATCACTGGAGTGTTTTTGGAGGTCAGTTACGCTAAAGTTAAAACTTTAATACTTAAAAAATAGATATGCTGTTTTTTTCCACTTCAGTATTCTTATGCATGCCAAGTTCTCTAACCCATGGTCTAAGATTTTGCTTACCTATCTAATAACTTAAAAGTTTTAATAAACATCTGTAGATTTGCACAAGAAATGAGTTACTTAGTGAAGAGTGAGGCTTACGTGGTCTCAGCTGACAGTTATGATGGATCCGAAGACACATATTAAATGCAGCAGTCTGGATTTCTAGAATTTAAATGTCCCAAGTCAAACATTAGACGAGCTCAGAAACTAGCATGCAAGAATCCCAGCCCTTCCTAGCTGTTAAGTTGGTTCTCAATGCCTGTAAACTTCTGAGGTGTGGTAGGAAATGGGTGTTTCCTGTTGGTGTGTTCTTCCTTCCTGCTACAGCATGCTTATCCTTCGCTTTGAAATAAATTCTTCTCTTCTGTTATCAAAAACAGTATCCTACATTTGGCTTGCGCCTGATCTTGTTTGGCAGTTTGTAAGCCAGTTGCTTTTTTTGCCTAGTGGCATAAAGCCCCTCAAAAACTTAATATTAAATTGATTTCTAGAATGAAGCCTTCAAAATCTGACAAGCACTAGGCTTCTGGTTTTTATGTGCATTAATCAATGCTGTTTGAAATGAGTATGTAGTTAGTAAAGCTGATTGGTAGCATAATTATTCATGTGTGTATTTTTATTTTTGTTTTCATAGGCTTCAAACAGTGCTTCATATATCCAAGATGCCTTCCAGCTCTTGCTGCCTATACTGCAGATCTCTCTTATTGAGGCTAGAACGGAACTATCACAGTAATAAAAATCCTTCTAATTAGGAACTTTTTGACCTTCCCACTTCATAGTTTCCATACTGGAGAATGATGTAATAGCTCTTATTAAAGGGAAAAAGATTAACTCTGATCACTGCTGCCGTGAGAACGGTGATTAAATGCAGTCTGGCAATGACAGCTCTTACAGCACATTGAGAGATGTGATTAGCATAGTCCAGGCTGGTGGACAATGTGACAGACTTGAAGTGCAGATTGCTTCTCTGTTTCCATGGACCGTCTGTATCTTTTCACTGAAATCCCTCTGCTGTATGTGTTAACAAGCTCTTTGGAGAAGCTCTCTGGACTGTGAAGACAATGCTGGAGAAAAGAGGAGCAGCTGGCTAGTTAAAGAGTTAGCTAAAATTGTGGTGTGATTTTTAAGTCAGAGAGACATAATTAGGTTCCTGATAGCTCTGCGTTGGTGTTGAAGTGAATATTGGATAGGAGGTGCAAGAAAAGGCAAATATTTATGATTATGAACCTTGCAGTTCCTAGGCTGGACGGAAAAGAGCAGAGAAGATTCCTTATCAAGCCATTCTTGCTGAAGAGAAGCCCCGGCTTCCTGAAGATGTCTGTTAATGACTCAGGGATGTGGGACGGGGACTCTCACTAGGGTGCTGTTTCTCATTCTCTTGCAGAGTGCTTGCTTCAGCATGAGCTGGGAAAATGCTGACCTGGCCCTAGGAATGTGGGTACTTTGCTTTATAGCAATAAATGAGAACTGGCTAAAAGGTATTGATTTGTGTTTGGGCAATTTAATGAGAGAATTTAGCAGGAGGATTCCCCTTTTTCCACGCAGTTTGACATGTCAGCCACAGACTGTTCACAAATTCAGATACTTCTTTTCTTCTATTTCTGTGTAAAAACACTATAATGCAATGCTCCTTCTTGGAAGCTATATTAAAGTAGGGGGAGAGGAAGCAATTTGGTTCTGTTAGCAGGAGTCCTAATTTGTCTCAGAAGCTGCTCCACATATGGTATCTGTTTCTTTGTGCTGTGAAAGTTCCCTGCTTTGGTCTTTTTTGCAATTTCTATCTTTTGAGCCTGCCCACTGGGAGGGAGCAGCCCCTGTTGGAATCACAAGAGCAGAAACGCACAGCTAAACTGGAACTTCAAGAAGTCCAGACTAGCCAACCAGAGGTGACCGAGTGTCACACCTGCCTCTGTACTTGCTCATTGGTAACAATGATGCTCAAATCCCATTTCAAAAATTCTCTGGTTTTTAGCAGGTCTTGCACATTCCTGCTGTACTGAAGGCTTAACGTTCCTCTGCTCTATTTGTGCAGTAGAGAAGTGTTTTTATTATTAAAATACCTTTTGGCTAATGCTCCTCTGATTTTATATATATGGAAAAAGCCTTGCCTTAGTTGTGGTTAGACTGATCAGATCTCTAAAGGGAAAGCCTTTTTTTGCATCTTAAAGAAAACTAGACTTGAAAGGAGTGTGTTTGGGGTAAAAAAATCTGCACTACAATAAACTCTGGTGGTTTTTTCTCTTTTGGTTGATAGCATTATTAAAGAAAGGATTTGTTTTGACAACCGTTTCAGTTAAAAGCTATCAAGATAGTGGTGGGCACGAATGAAATGAGAAGAAAGAACTGCATTGTTTTTTTCTTCTCAGCCCTGACTGTGGTTTGTGGGGCAGGGCTGGGTGCTACTCTGGGGCTGGGACAGGTGGGCTTTTCTCATGCAGGGTACTGTCTCATAGGAAAAAGGGCTCTGAACACAGGCTGGGGAGTGAGAGCTCCCATAGCCGAGCTCCCAATTCCTGCCTCCATGCAAAATGGCAGCTTTGTTCCTGCCGCAAAGCCAAAATTTACAGAAATGTCAGAAGAGAAGAAATAAAGGTAACGGGGTTTTATGAAGCAGTAGCTGCTCTTCTTGCAGATAAATTCTACTGACCTGCAGTGCTTTAGTGTAGAGTAGTTTAATAATTAAAGGAAATGAGATTTATTTTTTTTAAGATGCAGACAGTAATTCTTTCAATCATGCCCACCTGGATTTTGTTATAGCAGCCAATAATGAAACGTGCACCAGTTTCACTTGTGTGCCAGTGCAAAGACTGCAATAGATAGCCAACAAAAACAGTTCCACAGTTGCTGAAATCTTCCTACCCAAAGGATTCATCAGAATTCAGCATCCAACTGTCTGGAGGTCTTATTGCTCGGCCTTGCCTTGTGCATGAACCTAATGAGAGCTGGCAGTAATTTGAGCACTTCTGGTAGTGTTTGGGGAGGTGAGATGTGGCTGAGAATAGATAAGAGTTAGCTAAGATGCTGGCAGTGACTTGGAGGGGGGGGGAAAGGCCTTCCACAATTATTTTCTTTCCTTGGGAGAGATTCTGTTACTTGCAGCTGTAAAAGCTGCTTCCTGGCAGCTGCTGTGGAAAGGTTTAAAACATAAAAAAGGCTTGGTCCTCTTGATGGGCTTTGGGACTTCCTCCCAGCCCTTGCCCATCCAGCTTCCCAGGGACTCATTTTTCATTATTAAAACACGCACGTTCAGTAGCAGCAAAACCTTTGACACAGGCAGGATGAGCAGTTGTCCTTGTTTGGAAGAAGCAGCAGCTATGTTGCTACTGGTGGCCCTGACGAAGGGTACAGCTGTCCCAGGTCACCTGCAGCACAAATTAAATGGTCTGACTCAGAGGCAGGAAGGGAAGAAATGGCAGGAGGAGAAGGAGGAGGAGGAGGAGACCTCTGGCATTTCCTTCCCAGGTGTGCACACTGGATCCTAAATAAACAGCAGTTTATGACAATGTGATTTAAGCAGAGAGATTGGTCTTCTGTAGCCAAAGGCCCCTTGGCACACAAATGGAGGATGTAAGTGCCCAGTACGGTGCTAATTAATGTTTTCTGGGAGTTTTGCTAGTCCCTCACAGCTCTGCACTTTGACAGCAGTGCAGAGGTGGCCATGCGCTGGTGTTTCGCGTGCTGGCTGGCAGGTTGCTTTCCTTTCTTCAAGGACAGCTTTGTGCCTGCTGCAGGGTGAGAGCAGAGCTGATGTGGTTTGTGGGCTGGGACCTAGAAGTGGCTGCGGCTGTCACTCTCCGCTGTCCTGCTGGGTGGTGGCAGCTTTGTGTCCCCGTGTCCAGGGAGTGATGGCAGGGCTGTCCCCTGGGCTGCTCTAACTGGAGGATGCTGCAGGCTTAGGTCCCTTGCATCAGAGTACTGAGAGCCTGGCTGGGGCTGGCAGGGAGCGAGCAATGAGGTCACCAGTTAAAAATAAGGTCGAGCCTGGTGTTTGGGGGGGAGGATCCTCCTAAGGTGGCAGGAGCTGCTTGGAGGAGTGGGGTTGGATGCCAGCTGGTCCCGACACCAAACATCCTCCCTGGATCTGTTCCAGGGTCCCGTGCCGTCCTCCCTGCGCACATCGCCACCGAGCTCCCGCACTGTACCCCGAGTTCCCCGGCTGGGTTGACTTGGTGGCTGCATCGCGCTGGGACAGGCGTGATTGCTGCCATCGTTTACCCCAAGACTGAGCTCTGGCTGCTGGGAGTTCCCCAAATGATTTTTATGTGAGGTGAAGCATCCGTGCTAGAAAGCACCACTGCTATTTATTGTAAAATTGGCAGCAACAGGGACTCTGCCACTGGCTTTGCTGAGGTGCTCCAGTGTTTATCCACCCTTGCTGACAAAACCCATCCCTTATTTCTGATCTAAGCCTGCTGAGTGGACTCCTGCTCTGCATTTGGGGCCGGTGCAGGCTCTGGTGGAGGAGGCCTGGCACAGACATGGCCAGGTTTTTGGGACAAGTGACTTCTGTACAGCTGCTTGCTCCCTGCATGAGTTACCCAGGGTTAGTCTTGCTCGGTGGGAGGGGGCTCCATGCGTGCTGCAATTACTGTAATTTAAAGTCAAATGACTGTGGGAGCAACTTTGTTGTAGAGTTGAAGGCTTTAAATGGGGCAAACCTTGTGGGAGAGGTAATACCTTTTATTAGGTGGAGAAAGCAAATTAGCTTTCAGGTACACAAGCCCTTCTTGACATTATTGTTACTGTTATTATCCCATATTGGTGCTATTAGAAACGAGGGCATTGCATTAGAGGGGAAGCACATTATGCAAGTGTTTAAACCTGCTGGTAACTGCTCTCTGCTGACAGGTATTTGCTTAATGATATGTTGGAGTGAAAGCCAGCAGCAAGGACAAGCATCAGAGGGAGCGGGGAGTGCCGAGTTCTGCTGGTCCAGCCTTGCCCGGACCTCCTGGAGCCACCTGACACCTCCCACCAAGAGGGGAGCAAGGACCTGCTCGAGGTTCCTCTCGCCACGGTTTTAAGGACACCCCCAAATCCCCTCTGCTCTGCTTCCAGCAGGGTCCTGACCATAGCACGTTCTGAGTCCCCAGTGCCCTCCCTGGTCCCAGGGCTGGTCCCTGTGGGTGTCCGCAGCCTCTAGAGCTGCCCTGGCTTGCTTGCCAAGGGTCTTTCTGCTCCTGCCCGTGCTGGAGGCAATGCCTCTTGCAGGTACAAATGCGAATGCGACTGGTCATGTTCCTGGTGTCATGTGCTGTCCGTGGCGGGTGGCAGAGCCAGTTTTTCTGCTCTGAAAGTGGGACTGGGGAGGAGACCGCAACACTCAAATACCCAGATCCAGCTGCCAGCCAGGCATCGAGGAGGCCACTTGCCTTTTTTCAGCTGCAGGTAAGGCGCTTTCCTGTCTCCCTCCTGTCATTGAGGGGGATTTACAGACTTGCATATCAGTTTCACAGGCTGGAGAAGCAGAGCAGGAAGGCAGGGTGAAGCAGAGGGGGCAGCAGGAGCATCTCCAGGACAGCTCGTGCTCCATGTGGTCTTGGGGATGGCAATCGGGCATCATGCCTGAGCCTTGGGGGAAGGAGTTCAGTCCCCTGGGTGAGACAGGAGTGGGCACAAACACCGTGACCTGTCAGCCCATTGTGTCTGGGGGCCATCCAGGCTATCGTATCTGGTGGGGTATGAATACGCAGGTTTGCTTCGTTACCCAGTGGTCTGATCCACGTGCACCTCACGCTTTGCTCGGCCATGGAGGACAAATGCAGCTTGTCAGTGGGGACCATAGAGCTGGTCCCTGGGTTTTGCTGGTTTGCTCTGCCCGGGTTTTAGGGAACCAGCTCATCTAGGATAGGGAAACCTGCCTGCCTGAAATGCAGTGTGGCTGAGGCTCTGAAAGAACAGGCAAAACTGGATCTGCTGGTCTCGGATGGGAAAAAGCTAAGTGTTGGCTGCCATCACCTGAGCCACCACCTACAGTGGGGAATGCACAGGGTGCTGGGTGGCACCTCCCCGGACAGGAGCATGGCAGAGCTCCGGGGTGGGGGAGCCCACCCCATCTTTTGGAAATCTGCTGGGTTGGTCCCCAGGGACAGGGTTAATGGTACGGTAGGGAATCAAAGGGTTGTAGCCCCCCACAGGGGCATTTCTTAACGTGAGCTGGGGCAGCACTACCCCTTCCCAGCCCTGGCTGCTGGGCTTTGGTCCGGTTGCCCATCTCACAGTTCAAAGCTTGAGGTCCACCACTGGGTACCTTGTGCCTTTCCTATCTGCTCAGTCCCCAGGCAGTGAAGGCACAAGGCAGGGGCATTCTCCGTAGATTTGGGGCTGGGCACATGCTGCAGGAGCTGTGGAGCAGCTTTGGTGAGCAGGACCTGGAGTCAGGGCATCAGCTGCATCTTCTCCTGCACTTTCCCAGGGGCTGCCTTTTCTTTTGTTAACGTTTGATTATTTTTAATGATTTTAGATTAAAATGTAATTATTTCCAATTGGTATTTGTACTTCTTAATTACGGAGATTAATTAGATTACTGTTCATTATTAATTAGATTGTAACTTTGCACTAATTACGCCTTTTATCAGCCAGTTCCCACACTCCTGCCCTCCCTGTCCAATCTGCCTCTCCCTGGATGCTGCCCCAAACCCCACCGCTTCCCACTGCCCTGCAGCATCCCGGGGGTCTTAAAACCCATCTAGAAAATACAAATCAATGTTATCAGCTCAGAGGCTGCGACTGGCTCTTTTTAAAAGCCCAAATACCAACCAGATGATGTCATTTTATGGCTAAAAAAAACCCCAACTTTAAAAGAAAGCATTAATATTCTGCCTGCCTCCATCAGCGACTGGAAGAGAAACTGTTTCCTAATTACCTGCTGCGGCAAGGGAACAACTCTGCTCTTCCCTGGGAGCAGAAGGGACCCAATCCCTCGCCCCTGCTGCCCTTCCCTTTGCCCTGTTTTGCCATTTGTGTATGAGAGGGAGGGTTTGACCTGCCTGGACTATTTCATGGACTTTGTTTGGTCCTGCTATTTTTAAAGCAAGTCTTTCTTTTCTTTTCATGTCACCTTTCAGGCATCTAATCAATGCTTGGAGTTTTCTTGCTGTTGCTCTCTGCTCACTGCTGTCTCATCTCTCTCCCTGCCATCGCCCTGTCCCCGAAGGAGGTCTTCTTTCTGCCAAGGCTTCTTGGGAGCCCCAACGCCTGCTCTCTATTGATTCATCCTTATTTAATTTGAAATACTTTTGTAATTTGCACCTGCTCATGGCAGGTTTAAGGCATCTCCCTGCACGTTTGCCCTGAGATTTCTCTGTTTGCCTCCATCACTCTCCCCTTGCTGCTTCCCTGGGTGCAGGGCAGTGGGTGCTGCCTGGGTGGGTACAAGGTCTGGTCTTTTTCTTTTTCGTGGAGGCCACAGACTGCTTTACCCTTTTCCCTGCTGTTTTGGAGGGTAGGAAGTGCACAGGGCCTCTTCTCCCATGGAGAAGAGAAAAATGAATGGTGGGATCCAGGGAGGCATTTTCATCCCTGGAAAGCTCACCTTACTCCACTTTCCAGTTGCTTCTTCAGGCTCTCTCTGTGCCATAGGTGTGACGGCGTCGTGCCCCAGAGCAATTTGGCTTCGGTGAAATGTCGACAATCCTGAAATGTGAGTGTTTGGTGTGAATGCAGGGGAACCTGCTGGGTTTGCATGGGCTGGATGCTGCATGCTGGCAATGAACCTCCCTCTGTGCCCTGTTGTAGGGTTTGGGCGGGAAGATAAGGAGAGAGAGGAGAAGGAAAAGGACAAGGAAGAAGAGAAGGAAGAAGAGGAGAAGGAAAAGACTGAGGTAGAAAAAGAGGAGGAGAAGAAGGAGGAAGAGGAAAAGGTAGGGGAATGATGGAGTTTTCTGCAGATCAGCTGCTGAACCGTTTGCCAGAGGGTTTCCAGCCCCAAAGTCCCCAGCTTGGGGCTCAGGGTGACCCCAGCACTTCCTAAACCATCTGATGCCAGGGACTGTGCTGGGGACCCCCTGGACCAACTGTACCACTGCCTGTGTGGTGTCTGTGGGGCACCCAGCACCCTGAGCACCCACTGCCCAGCACGTGGCGGGATGGGGCCGGCTCCTGCGAGGAGGATTGGTGTCCCAGGGGGATAAAGGCAGCTATGGAGTAGGGCTACCTCCGTGTGTGAGGATGGTGCAGCGGGGATGTGAATGATGCAGAGCTCCCAGGTTGCGGGCAGGGTTTGTGGGGTGTTAGAAAGCACCGGCCCCAAATGATTTACATCCTGGCTGTGAAGGGAAGCCACGTCTGACCTATGCCAACCCCATACCTCTGGTGGATGGAGCTACGCTGTCCACAGCCTAGAAATCACACTGCGTGCATGGCTTTTCCACTGAGAGACAGCTCTCTTTGTTCCCAATATTCCCAGTTAGTTCTCCCTCCTTTTCCTTCTGTTTCAACCCAAATGAGATGCTGCTGTGGACAGCGATGCTGTCTGCACTGCACACACCACCGAATCCTTGCTCCTGGCTCTGGAGGTCTCTGCGGGGCCATGGGCACACGTGGTTCCCCAGCACCACTGGTGCAAAGCCTGGCTCTAGATACCCACAAGACCAGACATCTCTCTGACTCGAGGCTCTAGCTCAAACAGCAAACGGGGTGCCGGGGTCCTTGGTGATGCTTGTCCTTCTCTCTTCGCCCCTGCAGGGAGACGGAGGAGAGGACGGGAGGAGCAGCAGCAGCTCTGACAGCGCCTTGCAGGAGGTAACCACACCAACCAGCTCTGTGCTGGAGCCTGGCTGCCCCACTGCATGCCAGCCCTGTGGGGTTTGCATCTACGAACCCCTGTGTGGGTGCTGGCTACTGGTGCTATCCAATACAGAGAAGTACCAGGGGATGGGACACGAAACACCCCTCATGTCCTGTTCCCTTTTCTTTTTGTTCCTGCCCCAGGACCACGGCAGTGACAAGGATGATGAGAAGGAAGACAAAGATTAGCCTTTCCGTGCTGGAGCAGCAGCGCGCACCCGGGACACGCTGAGGAGGTGGGGATGCAAACGGCAGCATGTGCCAGAGGGGGCCTGGGCCACTTTTAGCCAAATAAAGGTGTTTGTGGGCTCCAAAGAGAAATGCTATTTATTCATCCAGTCACGCTGCCTACCCAGTGCTATCTGTCCCTGCCGAGAAGGAAACAGCCAAGAAAAGGCAATAGGTGGGGAGCTGGGGTTGGGGTGAGCGCAGGCAGGTTTTGTTCAAGACCGTGAAAGAGTCTGGAGAGCAATCCGGGGGCTCTGCCTGCCTGGCTCTGCAAAGTCCCACAAAATTAGGTAGTACCAGTATCCTCCCTGTCCCCTCTATTCCTTTTGCTGTGGGATGGAGCAGCCTGAGCAGGGACAGACGGGCTGTGCCAAAGGCGGCTCCAGACGCCTGGGGCTGTGCGGAGCTGTTACAACTGACTATGATTTCACATTTATCAGAAACATACGAAAAGCTGTTACAGTGGGAAAAAAAAAACAAAACAAAACGAAAAAAACCCAACAGCAACCTCCCTTTCTGCAGTGCAGCCCCCCCTCACGGGGCAGCCCGCCTGGGGCTGGAACCAGGCTCAGCACCGGGGGGGAAAAAAAAAAAAAAAGAAAAGGGGGGGGGGGGAACATTGGGGAAAAATGAGCTGGCACCGCCATCTACCGGGAATGGGACTGTGTGACAACGGGTCCCCGCGTTTCATAACCCCTCGGCTGTTTTGTAAGGTGCGGGAGGTGCCTGCGGGGTCCAACCCTGCAGCGAAAAGGGCCCTCGGAGGAGGAGATTTGTGCCCTTCAAAAGCAGTGCCAGCACCCCGACCCTCCCCTGCTGCTGGCCGTATTAGGCCAAGCCCTGAAGTCTCACCGGCAATAAAAACTTCCATGCAAACTTTGCTGGGTCGCTGCCTTGCTTCGCTTTCCTTAAGGAGTCTATTTTTAAGGGTATTTTCCGAAGTAATGCAGATTTCGGACAAACTCGAGTTTAAGAGTCAAGACCGTGGAGGATTTTTACTTGAAACCACAAAATGTGGCTTTAGATATTGTTTTCATGGAACAAATGCAGCTGGCTATTGTATAATCACAACAAACAGCAGGCAAGATGCTGAGGAATGTTGTCTTAATTATCCAGCACAAAGATTAAAGGGAAAGCACAAAGACAGGAAAAACAAACAACCCCAAAAGCTAAACTGGGTTTCAGTGTGCTGGTTCGGCTTCAGCAGGGAAAGCGCAAGTCTCAGTGCCTTATTGCTCCATGAACAAGAGTCCCTTAATGTAAAATAACCCTGTGCGGGGTTATTTTACATATTTTACTTTCTGTTCCGTGCAAGTACGCAGGACTCTTGCACAAGACACAACCTACTTGCAAATAGTATATGGAGTTGAAGCATTTTACAGTCCTCTCAGGCCACACTCCTGCAGGATGGGAATTTCTTGGAATAAATTCTTTGCATCTGGACACAAAAAGGGGAGGCCCTGCCTTTTCTTTTCAAGTTAAAGGTTGGAAAGTTTTCAAGCATGCTGTGCCAGACTATTTTCTGAGGTCAAGCATGCCTGTAGATGCTCAGTTAGAGCTGAGAGGTGTTGCATCTCACTGGAGTGAGATTCTGCTTTTCAGTTGATGCCAGGTATCTCACCTAACAAGCTAAAAGCCCTAAAATTGTCCTCTGCACCTTGTGTCCCAGCTCCCAAAGTGAGCGAAGCTTGCAAACGGCTGTCTGCAGGTGATTCTACCAACATGCCCTCACACTGTCCCAAATCTCAGCATCTTCATGTCCTCAGAGCCAGTGTTGGGTACACCCCGCACTGCTGGGTGATGGCGAGGACCGAGCCAGGCAAAGTCTTACTTTTTGCTGTTTGCGTTTTACGGTCCCTGCTTCAGGCCACTGCGCTAAGCTGTGTGCAAATATAACACGTGCAGCCAGATCCCTGTGGCACAAGAGCAAAAAGCAAAACACACCCAGGGACTGGCTGTGCGAACATCCAGGCGTCTCCTCCGGCAGCCGAGAGGTTCTCTGTCCTGCCTTTGGCACTTCGCCCTGCACGTAGCTCGCTCCCCTCTGTGCCCGTGCGCTGCCGTGATTTGAACTGGTCAAAGTTTTCTAAGAAAGTTGCGGGGGTGAAAAACCATTTCAAATTATCTGGTGTCCCTAAGTCCTCGTTGCGTTTCAGCCCTGGCTTGAAGCCAGGCGACATGAATGGGTGTATAGCACGAGCATCCGCGCCAGCCACGTGGATTAAGGCTTTAAAAACACTTACTGGAGGAGGCAAGAAGCAGGTGGAACATTTGGCTTTTGGGGATTGTCTCAGCTGCAGGGGCACGGTGGCTGTC